ACTAAAGCCATGATGGTATGGCATAGCCCGTCTGGTATCACAACACAATACCAACACACCGTCAGCTTCTGTGAGTTGATCTCTGACGGCTGCTCAGCACGTGAGGCACCTTGCGAGGATGAGGTGAGCATATGCTGGGAACTGTGGAGTGTTGCGTCATGTTGAGTAGAACGGCGGATTTCCTCAAGGTTGACTGATTTTGCCTCAAGAACCATGTTGACGTACTCGTGCAATGAGCGGGACTCAGCTGGAGACAAGACAGTGGTTTTCAGCGGAGCACGAGACAAAGCGTCAACGCACAACAGTTGCTTTCCTGGGATACCCTTGAGTTCGTACAAATCATATCATGCATCAGAGATGATAACCAATGCTGGAGACATGGTTGAACGTCATCAAATGTTTTCTGAACTATATGGAGGAGTGGTCTGTGATGCATGAAGACGTCCTCATCCCGGCCCAAAACGTACTGGCAGAAGCGAGGTAAAGCGAATACCACACTCAACATGTCACGCTCCATCTGCGAATAGCATGTCTCCCCATCAGTCAATGATCGGCTGGCGCAAGTGACCGGCACCCACTGGCCCTTGCCGCAGTGCTGCCTGAGAATAGAGCCCAAATCTTGAGGTGAAGCATCGCATCTGACAGCCGTACGGACTTCTGGAAATGGGCGGAAGTACGCCCGTGTCTGCAGAAATGAAGCGACTGGCTGCTTCACTGCGTTGAATGCCGCAATCGGGCTCTCAGTAGCTACAAATGGTTTGGTTATCGTAATCAACTCCTCCCCAATAGTGTCAAGCATGAGGATTACCGTTAGATATTGGCGTCCGGTTTTGTACAGTTCGTTTTCCCGAAGCCTCTTCCTGTATCTCTGATATTGCTGACCCACCCAAGGTGGGTGATGGGTTGCTTTGCTGCTTCGAATTGTAGTTAGACCGCATTGTCATGTTATTAACTGGTCTCGTGATCGTCTTGTAACAGTCGGCATTCTTTGTTGCGTGGGACTTAGGTTGTGCACATTTCCGCTGCGCTCATCTTTTCCTCTTTAGTCCTAACCAACCTCGAACCTTCCGATTTGGATCCTGCTTTGCACACTGGAGATGTGTTAGAGCTAAGTCTTAGGTCGTTGAATGTCTCAGTAGCCTGTCAGTTTGTTCCCTGTTATTGCACGTTATAACTGTTTATGATCTTGGCACGGTCGTGGATAGTTGCTTCATAATTCGTTCCCATGTGTTTTTTTCTTCTTCTAGTTTACATTGATGTAGAAAGGAAAGGGAAATAATTATAGATACGAGTTGAGAGTAACTCTCCATCACTCTAACCAGATAACCTTCCAAGTTGGAAGGCTGTCGGTAAGCGCTACGGAGATGTGTTGAAGCTAGGTGTAAGGACGTCGAATGTCTCAGTACTCTGTCAGTTTTGTGCCTAGTTGTTGCACTTTCTGACTGTATATAGTATCTGGTTAGAGTGATGGAGGGTTTCTCTCAAGTCGTATCTATATTTCCTTTAATCGTCATTTCTGTATACTTTATTCTCACAGTGTGAAACAGTGGAGACAATGTCCAATACAACGATGGATGTAGGAAGAAATGGTGAAGAGGAAAATTAGGATTCAAACAAATTTTCGTACAACACTCAGGAACTGTCGTTGTCAATGAAACAAAATTGAACGGTTATAGAAAGAAAAAGAACATGTTTACATTATTCCCTGTACTAAGCCATGATGAGAAGGGAACGAAAACGTTCGGTTACTAAATTGGCTTTACTTAACTGTGTGGATTGCGCCGGTGCTGACAACTTTTCTTTCGAAATTGGATACGCCTCCAATTATTTCCTTATGTTATAGAAATTCAGAAAGTGGTGTACATCACGTGACTGCATTGTCAGTAAAAGGGGGTTTGTCAACTGACTACCACTCTATTCAGTAGCTATTCACTCGGCGTATGCGCTGAATGAAAATTCTTTTCTTCGTGATGTCGAAAACCTTATTGACGTTTCGGGCCCGTCACCCATCATCAGAACCATTTTCTGACGATGAGTGACTGGCCCGAAACGTCAATAATATTTTCAACATCATTAATAAAATAATTTCATTCAGCTCATGCGCCGAGTGAATAGAAAATGGATATAGCGGTTGTCAGTTGACAAACCCCCATTTTACACATTATAGAAAACTTACGTAAAACAACACCAATACCAACAGGAGTGATAAACACAAGTGTGAATTCTAGCAACGAAACGAAGAGAAATCACGAATGCATGTGCTAATGAAAAAAGAAGAGAAAGAACGAAGGACGAAGTAATAACACAAACAGCGGTGCATTTCACCAGAACTCCAGCTCCCTTCTATCCTCTCTGATCCCCTTCGCTCAGCCTTAATCTTAGCTTGTGTCTCCCAGTCATGGTACCATATACGAATATCAGTTCTCTTCATCTTCCTAACCTATGGTGCACTGCTTTTACTATTGTGTTATGTCATATCTCAATCTGAAATTCTCCCCATTATCGTTTGCAAAGGTGCTTCCCCCTTGGAAGCACATGTTCTTTTCTCCTACGTATCGGCTCACATGAGTAACGATGAATCCGAGACCTTTGGTCGGAGGAGTTACTTTTGCCCCGCCTCCACTTCCATCCAATATGCCACCACCCTGCTTTGCAGCATCTGATGGTTATGTGGCATTCAGTGAAAAATAAATAAATTAATTAATTAAATAAAAACACTACCGGCCAAGGTTGGCCACACCAAACATGACACGTTACTTGAACCATTTATACCTAATTATACCATCTTTCTGTCTTCAGGATGCTGAGTCGAATGGTCTTGGTTCGAGGGATTTGAGACGCTCCCTTCCTCCTTTATCCCCAATCGAACTCCCGCTCTTCCACCGAAACTGGGTGACCCTATCCGAGGGGGATTTAGGAAAGGGTTTGCTCCCACACTGGAGCTCGCGCTATTCCGCCGACTTTACTTGACACTTGACTCCGGTGTGGGAGCAATCCATTTCCTAAAAAATCATCGCCGAAGTCGCAACCACTATTTTCATACTTCCTCCGTTAACAAAAACTTCGTGATGGATTTTGATCGACATGAAAACGCTTAGAACAGGTCAAGAACACTTTGTATCGACTGCAAATCACTGGACGAAGGTGATTCAGCCTATGTACAGCGTCTTTACAAAAGAAACTGTTGGTGGAATGAGCAGAGAGTTCAGTTTGCGTCGCTTTCGCTCGACTCATTTTTGACCTGCGTCGCTGTCGTCATCTGCTGCACGCGAGTCGTCATCTCTCTCGAGTCGTTGTTCAGCTCATTTCAGCCTTGCCTCAGCTTCTTTGATCACACTCCGCTGACCTTGATGTCGCCGTCGTTCAAGTTGGTAGGCTTTCAAGCTGCGTGATCCGCCGCAATGGCGATTACTCGTTTCCACCAGGGAGTCGTGAAAAATATTTACGACATCCTGGTTTCATCTTCGCGAGGAGTAGAGGCACAGCCAAACTGATTCTATTTTCTCTAATGAATTCCCCTGCCAGCACTGAACGGCAGTGGCTAGCAAGTCCAGTCGACTTTCTTTAGCGACGAGACTCGCATCGGACTGCAGACTTCTGAAAGAATGCATGGTCATCAGCATTCCAATCTGGGCTTTGCGCAGGTTGAACAAGAACTTGAGTTCAGAATTATTTTCATTGAGCCGTGCGATCGGAGCAGCTCCTTGTTCACTCGCTCATTGTGTGGGCTCGCTGCTCCGTTTTATCGCTCTCTATCACTCTCCAACTTACTCAGTGCTAAAGTGGTAGAGAGGCCAAGCAGCGCAATATCCCCTCGGAGAAGTGGTATTTTAGTTTCGCTCGCCATGACTGTCATCACCTATGTTTAGACAGCGCAACCATCGATTCCGCTCGGCTTGTTGTGAAAGGTCGCTTTTCTTGTATTGTACCTCTTTCATGGCATGCCTGGGAAGGCCAAGAAATTGATTGCGACTCATTTCACGGCAGTTTGTGCCAAAATCAGCCCCTCAAAAATCCATCACGAAGTTTTTGTTAACGGAGGAAGTAGAGGGGGATTTGTATGCAAAATGTCACTAAAAGCGCCATTTCGTTCTTATGAAAGCACGGATGAAAGCTATTGGCCCATATGTTGTAGTCTTTTGGATGCTGAGTCGATAGGTATTGTTCCAAGAAGGCTGCGGTGCAGCGTTTGGCCTTTATTTCCCAATCAAACACGGGTGAGTAAGCGGTCACGTGCTTGTGCGTACACCAGTCACCTGGTCATCGTACCTGCAGGCTACACATTTTTTGACACCAAGGTTCAACTCAAGGGTGCAAAGGGGGTTCAACTCGAGTGACAGGAACGCGCCCAAACAGGCTGTAAGTTGTAAGGAGCTGAGCGGCTCACTTTGCACCAGATGTACAAGTCATTGCCTGCCTGCTGGTTGTTTCACCTACTGCTTATTCTTCCAGCCACGAACGCCACATCGGAGAGGTCATTCAGTGGACTTCGCAGCCTGAAGACGTTTATTCAATCCACATAAAGCGGTATCAATCATCTTTCTCCAAAGTATGAGAATTCGCATACATCAAGGGGTTATACAAATGATTTCATAGAGATTTTCGAATGGACACACTAGTATACGAGCGCAAATCAGCAGATTTTCGAATATGTACAATATGCGGCGCTGTGCCACGATCACTCATGAATCTGTGACTTCGCCAAAAACATTTCAACTGACGATGTAATTGTATAACCTGTATAGGTGCACTACATGTACTGGTACATTGTAGTCACTTGATTCGGTCCTATCATTTTAAGGTACAAAATGTCCCTCCGGACCAGTCAAATATGTGGCAGCTACGGCCCTGGCATACATGATGCCGTGCACTATGTCCACATGCGCACATCAATATTCAGCACATGAGGACAAATGGTTTGGTGTCCTTGAAAATACTTGATGTCACAAGAGTTTGTTGCAAAGCACATTTTATAGGTGCATTCCACCTCCAAAGCTCACCCTATCCTGGACATTAACTGCTATGCCTTTTCTCATCAGCAGCTCACACAGTGCTTTATGTCCATGGGCCGCGCAGACTTGTAGAAGTGATGCTGGGCTGCAGTTCTATTAGGTCACCATAGCAACAAACACACACATACACACACATACACATTCTTAAAATCACTTGCAAAGCATACAAGTTCCAGATTTTTCCTTTCTATTGCGGCATAGTACCGTACACATGTACTCGAAGTACAATTGACTTCTCCAAGAACACAGCATATCTCATCTTAGTGTGTGTGTCGTAGAGGACGGGGACATAGTAAATGCTGGCTGGAACTTTAAAAAAAATTCACAATAATACTTGCATCAGTGGTGCCTATGAACTGAATTCATAACCTCAGATTAGTGATACAAAGAGTACATAACCCCAAGAGTGTACAACTGACCTTTATCCAGTGCTGCCATGCCAGAACTTCACATCACTCGTGGTTCAAAAGGTTACGCTGGCAAGCAGAGCAAAGTGACTAGAGGAGAGTTTGGGTTCAACCCTCTATCTATCAAGCACAGTGTGAAATTCATGTGTGCAAGCTCGTCATGTGATGTGCAGTTCTGCCATCTCATAACGTGTTACAACAAAACTGCAGTAGCACACTCTTAGGGGTTGTGTACCCTTGGGAGAACTACAGTACCTTTTCCCTTATCGTTCAACTCTAAGTAGTATGTGTCGGGCGGGTTTTGTGACTGGTACATGGCCCAGCCCTTAAAAATGGGGTACTATTGATAGTACCTCATGTTTGGGGGTAAAAAAACCGGGCGCCCGGTTTTTACGTACAAAAATGATTTTTCGGGTGTTGGAGGTGGTGAAGGGGGTATGACATCATGATTGTACCCCAATGGTTGTACCTGATCATTGCCCCGGATGGGAGTGGGTATAAAAAGTAGATACTTCAAGTACACTTGGTCCGACTTATTGTGTGCTTCGGTTCGAATGTCAAGCAACTAAATTCAAATAATCTCAGGACGGAATAAACTTTCCAGCTACATAACACTTTCCTTCAATTGTCGATTTGTGATGTTGAAGAGGAAATAGCTCTAACTCCAAAGGAGGCAGCGCCTCAAAATCCTAGTCGACTCACGCATTTCGCGTCCAAAGTTTGTCGTCAGAGAACTCCTGTTGCTTCTTGCGCAACACAGAGAAGGCCTGGTGCTGAAATCAACACCCCAATGCGATGGAGAATTGTCACGGGGTACCAGCAACTCCTGGGCGATCGTTCTCGAGTGCCTCCTGGCGGATTGAAATCACCGCAGTCGCTGTTTCCTTCGCAGAATTTCAGTGAACTCGTCATCCAGAAACTCGTGCAGAAAGCACCAGCATCGCGCCGTCCACTTTGCTGATCTCTCTCGCAGTCGTTCACGATGTGGCGGTTCACGAATGAAGATTACGGAATAAATCGCCGAGAAGTAGTTGATCGAAATAAATAACCACGGCTGAGGTCGCCTTTCAGGCGACAACCTGGCTGGAAAACTGAAGCGCAGAAAGGGTGAATTGTTCTGCGGATACGGTGCGTGAATGGTGCGGAGTTCTCGGAGCCGCGATCGCGATACGTCATCGCTACATCAAGCTTTTGCTAAAGCTCCGTCACGAGATCTCCCGTATCCGGCTCCGGGGTCAGTGGATTCGTAAAAGTAATTAGATACTACGGAGGATTAGCAAGATGAAATTCGCGTTCGCGTTCGCTCTCCAAGGAAAGTCGAACTCAGTGACGGAATTCGCGTTATGAGAAGGATTAGCAAACAGAATTCGCACATGCATGACTTTGACACGACGTACATTGCGTACAGACAGTACAGCGTGGTAAATTTATGACTGCCATGACACGAATCCGCGATTCGTGTTCCGACTACTTTTCCGAACGAAATATGCGAAAGTACGCAATCCAGTTCGCGAACTGAAAAATGTTTGCGAACGCGAACGCGAATTTCGTCTTGCTAATCCTCCGTACTAAACAGGGAAGAGCACGCATGGTTAGACGTGTCGACACAGATCTGTTTCAGTACGCGCCATCCCTAAGGTCGCCTTTCAGGCGAAAGCCTGGCTGGAAAACTGAAGCGCAGAAAGGGTGAACTGTTCTGCGGATACGGAGCGTGAATGGTGCGGAGTTCTCGAAGCCGCGATCGCGATGCGTCATCGCTACATCAAGCTTATGCTAAAGCTCCGTCACAAGATCTCCCGTCTCCGGCCCCGAGGCCAGTGGATTCGTAAAAGTTACTAAAAAGGGAAGAGCACGCATGGTTAGACATGTGTCGACATGTCATGTCGACACAGATCTGATTCAGTACGCGCGCGGCACACGGTGATGAAAAGTTATTTTTTATGCGTGGTGGTGTCGCCTCATTTGAATTGAAGGTGTCGTGGGAGCGTCAGGCGAAAACACATACAGCCACCATTCTGGCACGAGGAGGAGGCGAAGCCGATCGTCCAAATGGTGCCGATGGAGTGTAAAAATCAAGGAAGCGCAGCGTAGCTTGGAGGAGATGAAACAAATGTCGACGTTTTGCACGGGGACGCACTTGCAGATGCGCCTTGGGACACCAGCAGCGATGAAAACTATAAGGTCAGGCCACACAGTAGTTATCTATCTACCGTCTCTTGGTTGATTTTTTAGTACAGGTGCTCCTTTGTACATATGCTTGAGTTTTGAAGTGAAGCGCACATTTTAATAAGTCGGACCAAGTAGAATACTGGATATGGGGATCATAAACATAATAATGAAGATGTTGGTGTTTTTTCCGTGACCCACTCCACCCCTCCTCCCGTTCCACCTCCCCATGCAATTTTTTTCGAAAATGGGCATGCTCACACACGTCACAAAGGTCAATTCTTGATAGATACGATACATATTACAAAGAATAAACATAATGGAACGAACACTGAAGATCGCAATGGAGAGGAGGAGGAGGAGGAAGGTAGTATTTTACTTTATAAAATTCAGTGTCTTTCCCTCAAACCAGTGAAAATTCAGTTCTTGTTGCAGTAGGTAGTCGTCAGGCGAAATTACTGGTCAGTCGGCGACACGCATTTTCAACAAAAATTTGCGTTTCACCTTCTGGGAGAGTATGCGTGTACTCGAGTCTCATCCTGAGCACGTGTTTTTCTTCTTTTTTTCAGCTCCAGTATAGCTGTATTTTTCATTGCAAAGCTGTCCTCGATTGTTGCATTTGTTGTTCAAACGAAGTGGACATTCAATCATGAAGGCAGAGGACATAGGAGCCTGATTGGAGTTTCTCGTGGCATAGGACGGCCACACAGAGACCGTACGCACGATGCTGAGATCAATTTGTGCGATATCAAAATTGTTTGTGATCTACCACATCGAGCAGAACGGGATCCAAACACAAGCTTACCGACGGTTAGGCTGCCGACCTGACTGGACAAATGATCCCTGGCTTCACCAGACGCCAGAAGTCGGACACCATGTCCTTTGCCGCGACGTCCATCTCCAAAAAGAACTCCATCTTCGTCGTGAAAAGGCTTGAAATACTCAATATTCAACCGAGATTCGCGGTCTCACCCTTTCTCAGATCGAATCATTTTTTGTTGTAGCAGTTGCAAGGCAGATCCCCGCCACTACTTCAACAGAAGATGGCTCCAAAGCATGCCTGGAACAAGCCATATCGAGGTTGCAAGCCACCCCTCTCAGCAAGAAATTCGAAATTTCAATGGTGGAAGATATACTATGAAGAGAATTTCAAAAAGTATGTTTCGTGGAGCGATCGCTCAACCTACGTCATTCAAACTTTGCAGGATGATTCAGACGTACATGCTAGGTATGGAACCACAGAAGATGATATCATAGCTGACACACAGAGTCACACACACAGCAGATTCGTGTGCACAGATACTAAATTAGTGGACGTCGTCATCTTCTTCCCGCTGATCTCAAATGTACTATGACGTGCTATTTCGCCTGACGATTTACTATATAAAATTCAGTGTCTATCCCTTAAACCAGGGAAAATTCAGTTCTTGTTGACATCATCATGATTTCATCAAGCTCAGGTATCAGATGAGAGACTATAAAGTTTACTCTTCGAATGCAATGTACATGTGAGGATCTGCCTTGCAACTGCTACAACAAAAAATGATTCGATCATAGAAAGGGTGAGACCGCGAATCTCGGTTGAATATTGAGTATTTCAAGCCTTTTCACGACGAAGATGGAGTTCTTTTTGGAGATGGACGTCGCGGCAAAGGACATGGTGTCCGACTTCTGGCGTCTGGTGAAGCCAGGGATCATTTGTCCAGTCAGGTCGGCAGCCTAACCGTCGGTAAGCTTGTGTTTGGATCCCGTTCTGCTCGATGTGGTAGATCACAAACAATTTTGATATCGCACAAATTGATCTCAGCATCGTGCGTACGGTCTCTGTGTGGCCGTCCTATGCCACGAGAAACTCCAATCAGGCTCCTATGTCCTCTGCCTTCATGATTGAATGTCCACTTCGTTTGAACAACAAATGCAACAATCGAGGACAGCTTTGCAATGAAAAATACAGCTATACTGGAGCTGAAAAAAAGAAGAAAAACACGTGCTCAGGATGAGACTCGAGTACACGCATACTCTCCCAGAAGGTGAAACGCAAATTTTTGTTGAAAATGCGTGTCGCCGACTGACCAGTAATTTCGCCTGACGACTACCTACTGCAACAAGAACTGAATTTTCACTGGTTTGAGGGAAAGACACTGAATTTTATAAAGTAAAATACTACCTTCCTCCTCCTCCTCCTCTCCATTGCGATCTTCAGTGTTCGTTCCATTATGTTTATTCTTTGTAATATGTATCGTATCTATCAAGAATTGACCTTTGTGACGTGTGTGAGCATGCCCATTTTCGAAAAAAATTGCATGGGGAGGTGGAACGGGAGGAGGGGTGGAGTGGGTCACGGAAAAAACACCAACATCTTCATTATTATGTTTATGATCCCCATATCCAGTATTCTACTTGGTCCGACTTATTAAAATGTGCGCTTCACTTCAAAACTCAAGCATATGTACAAAGGAGCACCTGTACTAAAAAATCAACCAAGAGACGGTAGATAGATAACTACTGTGTGGCCTGACC